TAGTAGTTCACACCTGTAATCCTAGCTGCTCAGGAGGTAAAGATTGGTAGGCTTGTCTGGGCAAAAAGTTTGCAAGATCCCCATCTTAACCAAAAAAAAGCTGGGAATGGTGGTACATGCCTGACATCCCAGCTATATGGGAAGCATAAATAGGAGGAACACAATCCAAGTAGGTCCAGGCATAAATACAAGACTCTATTCAAAACACAACTAAAGCAAAAATACCTGAGGGATGACTCAAGTTGTATAGCGCCTGCCTAGCAAGCAAAAGGCCTGAGTTCAAACCCCAATACCGCAAAAAAATAATAACAATATACAAGCCGCACATGCTATTTAAGTATCTGTGTGGGGACCTTGGCCACACTGCAATCCCACAAAAAAACCTCTCTCCTATAGTGAAAATGGGTACACCTGGGAACACATGACTCCGTGCTTTAAGCAAAGGATTAAAATGGATATTCTCTTTAATGATCTGAGGCCATTCAGCAATCAAGTTATGAGAAATAACTCCCTCTGCTCCAATTCCACGCTCACCAAGCCACCTGCTGCTAATAAATTGCTTTTCCACAAAGCCTGCCTACAGGGAAAGACTAATACTAGTCATGCTCAAGTGAATATCCAGGCCCTCCTGACAGCTATATTACATATTTTAAATTAATAAATTAACATTCTCATTTTATATCATCAATCCCTTGAACTAATACCAGAAAGACAGAACTATTCTTGGTGTGCTATTGAATTATGGTCCAAAGTCTCCAGGACAAACGGGCCACTCAGGTCATAGTAAACTCACAAGGAGGCCTCCGAGGGAACAGCCTGCCAAGCTGCTCCAGGGGCAGTTGGAGGTGGTGGTTGGAAGCTTGAATTTGACTTCAAACAGCCTGATCTTGAATTTCTGTTTTTCCTACTATCTTATTACAGAACATCAGGTAAATCTATATAAGCCCAAGGACCAACCTGGAAGAGCTGTGGGGACAGAAGCACACAATGAGAGTGTCAAAAGAGCCCTCTGAACTTTATCAAAGTATCTACACGAATGTTAGGAAGAAACAAGAACTGAGTATAACTACTTCAAGACATTTTGCAATACAAGGAAATAAGTGTGAACAGATAATAAGACTTAAAGTCAGGAGCAATGGGTGCCTGCCTATAATCCCAGATACTTGGGAAGCTGAAACAGCAATATTGTGAGTTCCAAGACAGCTTGGGGAACATAGTGAGACCACACTGAAGGAAGGAAGGGAGGGAAGAAGGAAAGGAGGGAGGGAGGGAGAGAGGGAGGGAAGAGAAGGAGAAGGGGAAGGGGAAAGAGAGGAAAAAATACTTTAAATAGAAGATATGGATGGTGTGGGTGTTTCATGCCTGTAATCCTAGCTACTCAAGAGGCAGAGATCAGGAAGATCATGGTTTGAAGCCAGCCCCGGCAAATAGTTTGTGAGACCCTATCTCAGAAAAATGCATCACAAAAATAAAAGGGCTGGTGGAGTGGCTCAGGGTGTAGGCCCTGAGTTCAAACCCCAGCACTGCATAAATAAATAAATTAAATTAATAAATAAAAGATGTGCATATAGTGGAGAGATGGAATGAGTAACCTGAGGTGACAAAGCCAGTGAGAGGAGAAAGATTGAAAATGTGAAGTAGAATGACAGAAAGGCAGAGAGAGGAATGAGAGGAGATTAGGGAAAGGAAGGGGCAGCCAGGGCAGATGAGGAAGAAACAGGAACAGTCCAAACTGTAGAGAAATACGGGGCAGATTCTTGGCAGCCCTCATTATTGGCCACTTCCCTGCCCAGTTTAGCTCCACCCTACCTGTTTCCCTTCTCAGAGTCTAGGAAGGATTTGGAAGGTTCCCACTTGTTGAATACCCTACTTTCTTTGAGCAGTGTGTTCTCTTCAATTCTGAGACTCAAGAACAAGAAAGACCAAGTCAAAAAGGACCCAATTTGGCTCCACACACCCACACCCAGACCCACCCTTTATGAAGACCTCCTGTCCTCCTTTCCTCTTCTCCACTCTATTCTGTTCTACTTGCCTTCCTCTTTTCTGACTCAGATTTCCCTTCCCCCTTTGGAGACAGAGTACCATACAGGAGAAACTTTTAGGATAACAAGAATCAAATCCTAGCTCAGTTACACCTTATCTTTAAGCAAGCCATTTACTTTCCCAAGATTCAGTCTCTGAATCTATAAAAGGGAGATCGCAATGCCTTCCTCTGATCTGTTATGTGGTTAAGGATATATGTGTATACAGTTCTCTCCATTGTTGTGTCTTCCCTTCCTCCTCCCTTTCTCCTCCCCAGACTGCCTTTATCCTAGTACTCCCTGACTTTTCTCCTTTTTTAATCTCCCAATTTCCTTTCTCTGCTTTCCTGACTTGTCTTCATGTATCTCACTAAGTTATTTGCTTCCCAACCCAACTCACCCTCTCTCTAAGGACTAATCCAACAAAGAATGGAGAGGCAGAAGGCTGCCTGGGAGGAAGCACCAATGTGGGCTTGGGTGAACCTTGGAAATCTACCTGCTTGAGGGAGGAAAGCTGTGAGGACAGGATGAAGGGGCTTATCTGGTCTTGCTGCCTCCCATCCTCTTTGGTCCTAACACTGCCCCCACCTCCCTCAGGTCCCGGGTTCCCAAAGGCAGAAGAGCAAAAGCCTTGGCAAGTCCTCCCACCCTGGGACATGAAGACCTTACCATCACACCCACAGGAAACCTTTCCTACCAACCCAAGGACATCACCCCAGTGCTGGGTCCATGAGGGGCAGGAAATGAAACACAGTCCTCAGACCTCAGATGTGGGGAGCGGATTAAGAAAAGCCTATGAGAACTTGACATAAGCACAGCTGTGCCCAATAATCAGCAGGCTGAGTTTGGCATGGCCCCAGCCATAGAAGAGTGCAAAATGCAGTACAGCTGCTTTTCCTAAATTATTTATGCTCAGAGAAGTAGGAAAGCAGGTTTCTCTTATTACAATGTCATGCCCTCACTGAGAACTGTTGCTCCACCTCCTTGTTTACCACTGGATATAAAAGACTTGCTAAAGGAGGAGTGGGGTTTTTTTGATAGGAATGAGGGGATTTTGATTGACTGATGCTGCTGCTGGCTGTGTGTCTCCACCAGAGCAGTTTTCTGCACTGAGAACTTTATGCATAGGCTTTAGAAAAGCTAAAGAGAACATGGGACAGTGCAAGTCTAAGGAAAGAGACTTTAAGAGTTATGCTAATACAGTTTTTAGACGTGGCTGCTGTTGTTTGTCTGCAGGTCTGAGCACTGAGATTTTAAGAAAGCTAAAGAGAACATGGGACAGTGTGAGTCTAAGGAAAGAGACTTTAAAGAATAGAAAGAAGAAAGACTTTAGAAGCAGGGTTTTAAAGGTAAAAGAAAAGAACAAAAGCAAAAGAAGAATTATTAGAGAAAAGAAGCAATGAGGCTGTTGTGTCTCCATCCAAGCACCCATCACACCTGGCCCTAACTTTATGCATGTCTGTCTTCTATCATTTGTCCTTTCTGCATATCCAGTCACCCCCAGTTAGGTCAGTAAAACAAGAGCTCATGAGAAAGCTCTCGAGACTCAGAAAAGGTAGATCCTGGTAAACCAGAGAAATCTCAGTCATGAACGGAGAGATCAGAGAAATACAGGAGCAAGTCCAGGCTTCTATACTGTAAGTGTGTAGCTGGGAATATAAATGGAAAGGTGAGAGGTATAAATTTTTATTCACATTGGGTGTCATCAGCTGCTGCCTACAGCCAGCCACAGTGCTTATAGGTTGCAGATATTGCACAAATGTAGAACATTTTAAAAAAATTTTTAAGCCAATCAACATGTACATGTCTGTGTACAGCTAAATTTGTAAGTTGCTAAGCCATTGTGTCTAGTTACCATGTCTCAACAATAATTTTATATTGTATATAATGAATATCAGGTAAATGTTATGAGTAGTCATACAAACACTGAAGTCTGTTTATTCTGTCACATGCACAGTCATTACCTAGCCACAGGATTGTAAAACTTTTCTTCCTCCTCTTGTTTATTCCCTGCTCATTTTCCCCCTTGATCTGGTAACCTCCTTTTCTCTTTCTTTTTTCTTCCTTTCCTAGCCTGCTCTTGCTGCCCCACTATGCATTTCCCTTCCTTCTCCTGTCTTCTCCTTTCTCTCCTAGACAGGACTCCCAGGCTTAGTCATCTTCCTTCCCCTTCTCGTGTCCTTATTTCTCCAGCAGTGCTGTAGTCAAACTACCCAGGTTTGGTCTTGCTAACCCTGTGACCTCCAGCAGCTTCCTCTCTCTTCTAAGTCCCCCTTTCTCATCTGTAAACATGAACCATCAAAATAACTCATAGAATTATTAGGAAAACAAAATAAGGCCAACCTACAAATAAATTACCATAATACTTCCTGACACAAAATTAGTACTCAATAAAAGAAAGCTATGATTATTTTATTTTTATTAAATGCATTTTTTAACTCTCCACATGAAGAAAACCTCCTGTGCACACACTCAAACAAATTTGAGAACCATGTCTCTCCTCGACTGATGTCAATCATCAAACATTTGTCAGGTGCCTACTCTATGTCTAACTTTGGCAGGGCTTGCAGGAGGCAAAGATGCATTCCCTTTCCTTCAAAGGCCCAAAGATGAGGCCAGACGCACACATAGGAAGGTCTCTAGAGCAGTAAGTACAGAGCTGTGGTAGAGGAGGGGTGGAGAACTATGGAGGCAGAGGGAAGAGGGAAACCACGCTTACTTTTTGCAGGGTCAGCCAAGACCTCATTGATAGTGATTCTGAGTTGAGTCTTAAAGAGTTTGCTGGATAAAATACATTAAGGATGGGCAGAAAGAACAGTATGTGGAAAGAAAAGTGTTGTAGGAAGAAGGAAAGGTTTGGGGAGCAATAACAGTAGTGGCAACCAGATCACCGGGAAGGGTACAGTATGGCAGAGTGGATAAGGGGTGGATTCTAAAAGACTTTATCATCAGCTGCATCACTGTCCCCATCATCATTACCATTCACGGGGTACTTTGTCCTGTGCTAAGCACTTGCCATGTGTTATTTCATTCGATCTTCACCAAAACTCTATAGGTGGGGACCATCATGATCCCAGTTTATAGATGAGATGACACAGAGCCTTGCCATGGCCAAGATCCTGTGGTTGAACCTGCAAGTAATGGGGAGGTAGAAAAGGTCTCTAAGTAGAAAGGCATGATTAGAATCCAGTCCTCTTTGTCCCCTGCATTGCTCCCTATGTCTTTCTCTATACCAGTCCATGCCACCAAGAGTACGTTCATGGCCTAGGCTGCCATGGGAAGAGATTTGGAAGCAATGACAAAAGAAAGGGATGCTAGATTCTAGAAATGTTTCTGCAGTTGAACTGCCAGAGTTTATAAGTGATCCATATGTTGGGGTGCAGAACAAGGAGAAGTTGGGGGGAAGAATTCTAGGTTTTTGCCTTAGAACACCAAGAGGATAGAGGTACCATTAACTGAGATGACAAATACAGCATAGAAGGGAGAAGGTAGAGGGGCTGGAGCAAGAATTAGGAAAGGAGCATGATAAATTTGATCTTATCACACTAGGCCTGAAATGCCTCTTGATGACTGAAAATATCTTCAGCACTAAAGAGAAAAGACACATTTGTAGACTTAGAATTGTCAGCAGATAAGGAAGTGCTGAAGTCATGGGGAGTGAATGATCTCATTGAGGAAGAGTAAGAACGAAGAGAGGGGAGGAGAAGACAGATCTCAGGAGAACACTTAGCCCCCAAAGGTGGGTAGGAGAAGGAACTACTGAAATGAAATGTTATGCTGTGGCCTTTCCGTTACACCCTCTTCCTCTTGCATCCAGCAAGTGCCTGGCACAGAGGAGGTCTCAACAAACTTGAGCTGAAAGAGGAAAGCAAAGAAGACTCAGCCAGGCACAGTGACTCACAACTGTAATCCTAGCTACTTGGAAGCAGGAGATCCGGAGGATAGCAGTTTGAAGCCAGCCAAGTCAAAAAGTTCACAAAAATCGCATCTCAAACAATAAGAAGCTGGGCACCGTGGGGCATGCCTGTCATCCCAGCTGCACGGGAAGCATAAATAAGAGGACCACAGTCCAGGCTACCTGGGCAAAAAGTGAGAACCTATCCAAAAGTAACTAAAGAAAAAAGGACTAGGGGTGTGGTTCAGTGGTAGAGCACCTGCCTAGCAATCATTAAGTCTGATGTCAATCCCCAGTACTGCAAAAAAGAAAAAGAAAAAAAAGAAAGCCTCAAAGAATAAACATGTTTCCAAACATACAAGTTAATATTTACCTATTAATGTTTAAACTATTTAGTATCACTAAGATGTTACCATTTTCTCTGCTATTTTTCCATGAGAAACCCTTAAAACGATCTTCTAATTGTGAAACATGCCATAATATCTAGAACTGATACATTAAGAAGTTTTATTTCAGAGGCTGAAGCAGGAGGATCATGAGTTCAAGGCTAGTCTGGGCTACATGTTGAGATCCTTGCTAAGAAAGAAAGGAGAGGGAAGATGGAGAGAGAGAGAGCACTAAATTTCTAATTTACTTTTTTTGGTTGGTGGTTAGTTTGGGGCGGTACTGGGGAGTTTGAACTCAGAGCTTTGTGCTTGCTATCCAATTAAAATAGTCTTTCTACTAGAAGAAAATGTCTAATTAGTCATGTATGAACAAAACAGAACACTTCTGTGTGCACACACACACACACAAAAAATCCTCCATGGCCACACACATAAAAAGAAATCCATCCCGAATTTTAAAGATGCACACATGATAAAACAATATAAAATACACTGGCTAGCGGTTAAGCTAAATCACTGTGAGTTTCACCTGAGAAAAGAAGCCAGTTCAGGCACAGGTGTTAGTAATCCCACATGAAATTCTATATTTTCTCATCCCTTTCTAATAAGCTATCAGCCCCCAATTAACATTTCTCACCAGATTCTCTTTCTTCAAACAGCTAACTGTTAACCAGACCTAAGACACCCTCATGTCTATGAAAAAAACAGCTAGAAGGATCAATTTTTCTCTTCAGACAAATCTCCGCACTAAAAACCTAACACTCCAGTCTAAGAGGGAAAGGGCAGTGCGAAGTGTCAAGTTTGAAGTATGAATTAATCACAGAATAAACAGGTGCAGGAGACAAAACCTTCTGGAAAAAATAAAACCAACTACTACCAAGGGAAGTGACAAAGATACAAACCAAAAAGAAATTAATATTTACGCTACTCACTTAAATCATTTATAAGTGATGCTAACGGAATAAAAATTTGAATTTCAAATAAAAAAAAAGACACTGTCAAATCTCCCATCCCCAACTAACTCCCCCAAAATTATTTTTTAGTAAGAGGAAAATAATATGGAGTATTTGCTAAACCTCAACCACACAGTTGGAAACAGCAAAACAAAAGAGGAATACAGAAGGAAGAAAGTCCCAACCAGTCCAGAGTAAATCCCCACTTGATCTCACTAATCCTTGAATGGTTCCCACCTACTCACCTCACCCTGGACCTAACCCTCTCCCTAAAAAGGGAGGTTTCCCAGCAGTGTAGAAAGATCAGGCCAGTGTCCCTTCCGTGACCACACCAAAGAGAAAAGCAAGGCTATTCTGAAAGCTTTAGTAATTATATCTCTAGGTGGCGTTCTTGAAAACCTGAGATCAACTCCCAGAAAAAAACGTTTCTGACCACTTACCACTACCGGAAGCTGCTAGGTGAAGCTCAGAAACAGCATCTCATTAGAAAAAGGGGAAGACATGCAAGAAAGCAGCTTCACTACCAGTGAGGAATTTAAGAGAGAAAAACATGCCTGGAAAAAGACTGAAAGCTGGGAAGAAACTCTCCTATAGTTGCCTGCTACCACTCCAGGCCAGAGCTGGTTAATCTTGGAGAAACAAAAGGAAACTCCCCAGAGGCTGGCTTCTAGAGACTGGCTTCCTCTGTGGGAACCAAGAATTCAGAAGGATGGAAATGAACAATGGAGGGGACACCAGCTGCCACACCTACTCACCAAAATTCTACCAGTCCTGAACTGAGAACGATAAGCAAACAACCTTGGAGTTCACACCTGTTTTCCCAGGGATGAAAGATTTACCAATGGGGATATTTAACTCATCACAAGGGGAGTTCAACTCTCTCCTGGATGAAAGTGAAGCACACCCAAGCACCATTTAACTCTCAAAGCAGAGACACTTCTTCTTTACCAACATCCTTAATTTCAGTGCAGAGGAAGCAAGTGTTAACCCTGAAGATACCAAAGAACATATGCTCATAGGAAATTGATTTAAATTTTTCAGTTTGGAACTGCTTTAAGAGGTCCTAATTGAAATTACATTTTTTTTTAAAAGAAAATCAGTTTGGGTCGATTTTTTTAAAGGGCAGATGTGATTCCTTTCAAGACATTTAGGGATTTTCCAGAAGTTGCATCAGATTGGCCAGTTAAGCACTGAAACCAAGCATGTTTTAATCATGTCTCTATAACCAGAGCAATCTGATCCCTTGTGTCTTGTCAACTCTGCTCTGCTGGAACAGCCTTGCACTGAGCCTTTCACCACAGCCAGATAGCAATGAGGGCCTTTCTCTTCCAAGGCTTCCCAGCAGCCAGAAACTACAGATTTCTGGAAGCAAGACTGATGGAGCTCTTCCTTGCATGCTAAAAAGGACCAGCTTAGAGGAGGAAGTAATCTCTTTAAAGTATTTAAAATGAAAATCAGCTTTAAATGAAAAAAAAATTAAGCATAGCTTCTATACCATTTTAAACCCATTATATTTTGGCTGATATTATAAATTTGGTAGTTACCTTTGCTGAAAAAGATACAAGAATTAGTTTTGAACCTGTGCACAAACGCGTGAGCATTACTAGAATGTCAAGTCCTAAAGTTTAGCTTCTTGGTTGTAAAATTGAGAAAATTATAACCTTTTTCTCAAGTTGTTTGTGACTATTAAGCAAGGTGTTCGTAAGGTGAGATCAAGAAGAATTAACCTAGAAGGTAACACACATGCACAGGAAATTAATGTGAGTCAACTCCCTGTATAGCTATCCTTATCTCAACCAGCAAAAACCCTTGTTCCTTCCTATTATTGCTTATACTCTCTCTTCAACAAAATTAGAAATAAGGGCAAAATAGTTTCTGCCGGGTATTGAGGGGGTTGGGGGGAGAGGGAGGGGGTGGAGTGGGTGGTAAGGGAGGGGGTGGGGGCATGGGGGAGAAATGACCCAAGCCTTGTATGCACATATGAATAATAAAAGAAAAAAAAAAAAAAGCAAGGTGTTCGTGAAAGGGGAAGAGGTGGCCCACACACAATAAAATTGAAAAAAAAATATGTTCCTGAAATGAATAACAAATGAATAAAAGGATAATTTCATGTGCAAATTGCATACGCAGCTACTAGAACATAACCCAGAACCTGTCACAGAGTCGTTGTCTAGCAAAGGTCACTGACTACTTCTGAGCACTATTTCCCACAATCTTTCCCATGGTCGACACATTTCCTTTATCACAACAGAATGAAGATGTCTGAATTCTGAATTACTTCACAACTCCAGTTCTTCCATTCTGACCCAACCACTTCCTTCTCTTCCTTCTAAGAAATAGTCCCATGCATACTCTTTCAAATTCCCCAATATACCATAAAACAGCACAAAAAATGATAAGATTAGTAAAAATAAATAGGAATTTTTGTATTTTCTTCCTAAACACCAAAAGATTTTTTGACACCCCACACACACTCCCACACACCCTCTCTCTTCCCCCAACTTTCTTCTCCACCCACCCCTACCTCCACATCCATCCCTCATACAGTCATCACATTCTTATCCCACCATATCCTACCTTCTCTCTTTTGTGACTGAAACCAACTCACCCTCCCATTCAGAAACAGGTCCACCAAATCTTTGAAATCTCACATACCATCCTGGTCTTTATTACCTAAAAACAAAGTATGGTTTTCTAACCTCTTGTAGTTTAGTGTATTGCCTGGCACTTTCCAGGATGTGTTAGACTGAAGTGCACCAAGAGAAAAGAAAACTCAGAGCAGCCTCCCGTAAATGTGCCCCCGAATGATTTCCTGTTGGTGGGTTAACCTTTTGTGGAAGACATAGGCCAACATAAACCACTGACCCATCACTGGCTGTGCTATTTCCTATGTGGGGATTTTCCATCTCCGTGAAAGGACTCAGTTGAATTTTAGTCATTACTCACTTAACTCACAAAAATAGAATAAGAGAATGCAAGCATGAGACATTTCTTTCAAAGTTAAGCCATAAATAGGGACTTAGATTTAGGAATACAGGAATTTCCTATTCCGCTATTAAATTTTCAGGAATTAAAAATACACCAAAAGTAATATAAATCTACTACAACATTAAAATTAAACTGGTGTGATTTCTTAAAAAATAATAAAGAATCCAAATCCCAGAATGCTGAAATTCATTATTGGGAACCAACTCCTGATAGTAATCTGGTCTCTTCCTCAAGAACTCCTCTAAATAGTCTTTTCAGTGCATTAGACACAAGCAGACATGGAACCTAGAGAGTTTGTTTTTCATGTAAATCCACTCACCAAAACCCAGGTGACTCGAATTTAGCTTGCCCTTTCAAATGACTCTGAACCATTTGTTCCAGAACTAGATTACCCAGCTTTAAACCAGACAGCCTAACCCCAAGCCCCACAATTGGCATCCCCAGCTGTGGAAGTCATTCTAATAGTTCTCTTCCAAGAGACGAATGTTCTACAGCCAAAACTGGATCCTGGAATGGTCTGTTGGCTTGGAGAGAAACACTCCCCACAATGATGCATCTCTGGCACTCAGGGAGGTACAGGGTCTGCCTTGCACATATTAAGTTCCCTGGAGAGATTTTTGGCCTCTCCTTTTTTTTTTATAGATTGACATCATAGGAAGTCCTTCCAGCAATAGGGGCACTGACCAGAAGGAAAGAGAGGAAGAATGGATCTGATCTGAAGCAGTGTGGGAGTTCAGATGGTCTTGCCATCTTAGCACCTCCACGACACAGAAGCATCCAGACACTAAGGCTCTTTTAACACTTGCCTATTGCTGTCCCATTTTCTCCTTGGCAGGTTGTCATCCCAGCAATAAGGCACAACTGGGGCAAAATGACTTTAAGAAACTCTTCTCTTCGTCTCTTTACCTTTTTGGTCCGTCCTGCAGGTCAATAGGTGTGAAAACTCCTTACCCCTTACCTGGCACTGGGAGAGTGCAGAATCAAGTTAAGCCTCAGAACGTCCCTAATCAGGACATATTTCCAGGACATTTCATACACTTTTCCCAAGTCCTGGTTCTGCAACAACCCCTCTGCAAGGCATTGGGGATCCTGAGGTAACAAAAACCTCATCTCTGCCCTAACAGGAAACTTTCTAGTGGAAGGGAAATGAGTTGTCAACACATTGTGATACAACGTGCTAAGAAGTCTAACAGAGGTACCTCCTATACACACCTTGTCCAAACAGACTGAAACTAAGGAGAACAAGGTAGGTAGAGAGAGCCCAGGGGGAACCACAGCCAAACATGTAAAGCTGAATCCTAAAAGACTGATAGGTGAGTTAGGGGGAGGGGATGTTAATTAGTTTTTCATTGCTGTGACAAATACTTGAGAGAAACAAGTTGAAAGGAGGAAAGATTTATTTTAGCTCCCAGTTTCAGAGGTTTCAGATCATGATTAGCTGGCTCCATTTTTTCTGGGTTTGGGGTGAAATAGAGCATCATGGTAGTGAGGGCGTATGATGGAGCTACCCTAGTGACATTGAGGAAGCAGAGCGAGGCATAGGAAGGAGCCTGGAACAAGATATAACCACTAAGAGACACCCTCAGTGACATACTTCCTCCAACTAGACTCCATTCCAGAAGTTTCCACAATTCTCAATAATAATCTCATCAAATTATGAATCCATCAGTGGATTAATTCATTGGTTAGGTCAGAGCCCTCGTGATCCCATACTCCTGAATGACCTCCTTCACTGTCAAAAGCATACTGGGATCTTGGAGAGGAGTAGGGGGGAAAAGAAAGAATCACTCAGTGACCCTAAAAAAGACTAAATAATCAGAAGGAGTTTGTCTGAACTGAAAAAGACTGTGACAAGTAAACTGGCTAGCTTAAGGTTTGATGTGCCCTTTCTCCCTAGTTACCCTTTGGGGTGTATAGGTTAGAAAGAACAGATCCATTGCAAAAAGTGAGGTAATCATACTTTTTAGGCCCATAAGTAATATCCTGAGTAAACTAGAATCCCAGTACACTCACAATCCACCATTGAAGGCATAGGCTAGTATTTCAAAGTATCACGAAAAGTAGTTTAAAACGACAGAAATTTATTCTCTCACAGTTTTAGAGGGTAGAAATCCATAATCAAAGTGTCAGTCAACTTGGTTCTTTCAGGAGTTCCTGGAGGAGAATCTGTTCCATGCTTGAATTCAAGCTTCCTGTAGTTGATGACAATCTTTGACATTCTAGGCTTTTAGATATATCCCTCATCTCTCTGCTTCTGTCATCATTTGGTATTCTCCCTTTGTGTCCTCACATGACCTTCTTATAAGATCGCCAGTCTTACAAGAAGGTGATCTTATGGATTTAGGGGCCATCCTACTCTAGTATAATCTCAGCTTAATATATGCAATG